GATAAGAAGAAATGTTGGCAGAAACACAGAGTAAATAGTGTAAATTCCCTACATTCACATCAATTGGCAACAGGAGAGGTGACTAAAGATTCAACAGGGTCAAGAAAAATTCAACTAGAAATTTTTTTAAGTTACATTAATTTTCATTGGAGAAGTTGAATAATTGGGAACTCAGTACTGTTTTTGCAACTTTTTGTGAGGCAAAGTATTTCAAAACAAAAAGTATATGCATATTGTCTTAGCCCATTTGTGCTGCTATAAAGGAATAACTGAGGCTAGGTAATTTATAAAGAAAAGAGGTTTTGGCCAGGGCTGGTGCCTTGCACCTGTAACCCCAGCACTTTGGGAGGCTGAGGTGGGCAGATCACTTGAGCCCAGGAGTTCAAGCCCAGCCTGGGCAGCATAGCAAGACCTCGTCTCTAATTTTAAAAAAAATTAACCAGGTAGGGTGGCCCCCACCTGTAGTCCCAGCTACTCAGGAGGCTGAGGTAGGAGTGTCAATTGAGCCCAGGAGGTCAAGGCTGCAGTGAGCTGAGATCAAACCACTGCACTCCATCCAGCCTGGGTGACAGAGGAGACCCTGTCTCAGAAAAATAAGTAAATAAAAATAAAAATAAAAATGTTAAGTTAATTGTAAAACAGTCTGAGGCAGGTCCTTCCGGAGTTTTTCCAGAAGAAGGCATTGTTACCATAGGAGATGAGAGTTCCATGTGTGTTATTTCCCTTGGAGACCGTCAAGTGATATAAAATATGGAGGAGAAAGACAGTGATTTTGATTATTCAGACCCTGTGTGGGTCTAGACTAATGCATGTATTTGTGTCTTAGTTTTTAACAAAAAAGTTTAAAAAGAAAAAAAACATTTGTAATAGAACAAAGAATCAGGATATAAAGAATAAGGTAAGAAAAAAGGATAATAAGGATATAAAGAATAAGGTAATAAGGCTATAAAGAAAGAAAACAGTTTTTAGACAGCTGTATAATGTGTTTATGTTGTACGTAAGAGTTGTTAAAAAACAAAAAGTTTTGTTGGCCAGGTGCAGTGGTTCACGCCTGTAATCCCAGCACTTTGTGAGGCCGAGGTGGGTAGATCATTTGAGTCAGGAGTTTGACACCAGCCTGGCCAACATGGTGAAACCTCATCTCTACTAAAAATAGAAAAATTAGCCAGGCAGGAGTGGCATGTACCTGTAATCCCAGGTACTCAGGAGGCTGAAGCAGGAGAATAGCTTGAGCCTGGGAGACGGAGGTTGCGGTGAGCCAAGATTGCACCACTGCACTCCAGTCTGGGCAACAGAGTGAGACCCTGCCTCAAAAAAAAAAAAAAAAAATTAGCTGGGCGTGGTGGCAGGCATCTGTAATCCCAGCTACTGGGGAAGCTGAGGCAGGAGAATGGCTTGAACCCGGGAGGCAGAGGTTGCAGTGAGCCGAGATCACGTCACTGCACTCCAGCCCGGGCAACAGAGGGAGTAGTACTCTGTCTTAAAACAAAAGAGTCAAAAAGGTTTTTTTTTTAATTAAAAACTTTATAAAGTCAAAAAGTTATAGTAAGCTAAGGGTAATTTATTATTGAAGAAAAAATATTATTTAATAAATTTAGTGTAAACTAAGCATACAGTGTGTATAAAGTCTACAGGAGTAGAATATCCTAGGCCTTCACATTCATCCACCACTCACTGACTCACACAGAGCAACTTCCAGTCCTGCAAGCTCCATTCATGCTAAGTGCTCTACACAGGTGTACTGTATTTTATCTTTTACACTGTATTTGTACTGTACCTTTTCTATGTTTAGATATGTTTAGGGCCAGGTGTGGTGGCTCACACTCGTGATCCCAGCACTTTGGGAGTTTGAGGTGGGCAGATCACTTGAGTTCAGGAGTTCGAGACAAGCCTGGGCAACATGGTAAAACCCCATCTCTACAAAAAATATAAAAATTAACTGAGCGTGGTAGCACGCGCCCATAGTTCCAGCTACTAGGAAGGCTGAGATGGGAGGATTGCTCGAGCCCAGGAGGCAGAGGTTGCAGTGGGCTGAGATCACACCACTACACTCCAGCCTGGGTGACAGAGCAAGACTGCCTTAAAAATAAAAGTAAACATATTAGATACACAAATGCTTACCACTGTGTTACAGTTGCCTGCAGTATTCAGTACAGTAACATGCTGCACAGGTTTGTAGTCTAGGAGCATAGGCTCTGTGTAAATTTGATGTTTGTACAATGACAAAATCACCTAACGACACATTTCTCAGAAAGTATCCCCATCGTTAAGCAAAGCATGACTGCATTTCTTTTCCTGCAGAGCTGCCATTTCTGTTTTGGTTCATGTTTATCCATTTATTGATTAATATTGGCATCATTTGTTTTTTTTTTTTTTTTTTTTTGAGACGGAGTCTCTCTGTCGCCCCAGGCTGGAGTGCAGTGGCCGGATCTCAGCTCACTGCAAGCTCTGCCTCCCGGGTTCACGCCATTCTCCTGCCTCAGCCTCCCAAGTAGCTGGGACTACAGGCGCCCGCCACCTCGCCCGGCTAGTTTTTTGTATTTTTTAGTAGAGACGGGGTTTCACCGTGTTAGCCAGGATGGTCTCGATCTCCTGACCTCGTGATCCACCCGTCTCGGCCTCCCAAAGTGCTGGGATTACAGGCTTGAGCCACCGCGCCCGGCCTTAATATTGGCATCATTTGTAAATGCCCAAACTGTTAACTATGTTTTATTCACTGAAACCTATAATTTTTCTTGTATTCTTGTTCATTCTGCTTTCAAATTAAGGTGTTAACATTATTCCCACTTTTAGGACAGAATTCTTGAACCAAAAACAAAAGTCTCAAAGCTCTGTACTCTAGTTGTATAAAGAACTCCTCAAGAAGCTGCCTACGTAAAGGGCAGGGAGGGAGGACAGAATTGTAATTTGCAGATTACTCTACTGACTATATGTGGCCACTAGGGGGAGGTTAAATTGTGAGGCTCAGTTTTAGAGGTGGAGCCCCCTGCAACATTTTTCTTCAGGTGTAATCTTTGCCTTTGACCTGCTCCAAACCCAAATATGTATCTCAGTTAGAGGACCAAATTGGTTAGACAGTTCAGTGCTGTTTTCCTTATATAATGTAATGCCTGGGGCCTTTTTCCACTTATTTGTTGCTTCACCAAAGTGGTTAAGAGGCCAGTGTGACAAAGCAAGTGTTCTAAGCAGAAGTGAGGTCCTGAAGATCCCAATTCTGACCATTACTTTTGTGCCCAGGAGCTCTAGTAGATCACATAGCAAAAAAACAAATTGAACTCAGCTTTTCACAAAGATGTGTGCTTCTGTTACAATTCAAATAGATCACTCTTGGCCGGGCACAGTGGCTCACGCCTGTAATCCCAGCACTTTGGGATGCCAAGGCAGGAGGATCACTTGAGGTCAGGAGTTCGAGATCAGCCTAGCCAAAATGGCAAAACCCCATCTCTACTAAAAATACAAAAATTAGCCAGGCGTGGTGGCATGCGCCCTGTAATCCCAGCTACTTGGGAGGCTGAGGCAGGGGAATTGTTTGAACCTGGGAGGCAGAGGTTGCAGTGAGCCAAGATCCCGCCACTGCACTCCAGCCTAGGCAACAGAGCAAGACTCTGTCTCAAACAAACAAACAAACGTAGATCACTCTCAAAGGTGGTTGACAAAAAACTTTGGGGATCCTGGATACTGAAAAGATAACAGGATCTCCACCATGACATAAGCTACACTACAACCATGAAGTAAGAAGTCCACCACAATCTGAGCACTACTTGTCCATTTCACAGATGAAAAATTGAGAGGATAATCTCATAAACAAAAGATCCAGTCAATATTGCAGTCATTTGTCACTGATAGGCAACAGGAATATTCCAGCGTTTATAATTTATAAGATACAGAAGTGGGTCGGGCGCAGTGGCTCACACCTGTAATCCCAGCACTTTGGGAGGTCGAGGTGGGTGGGCCACCTGAGGTCAGGAGTTCAAGAGCAGCCTGGCCAAGATGGTGAAACCAAGTCTCTATTAAAAATACAAAAATTAGCCGAGCGCAGTGGCAGGTGCCTGTAACCCCAGCTACTCGGAAGCTGAGGCAGGAGAATCACTTGAACCCGGGGGGGCGGAGGTTGCAGTGAGCCGAGATTGCGTCACTGCACTCCAGCCTGGGTGACAGAGTGAGACTCTGTCTCAAAAAAAAAAAAGAAAAAGAGATACAGAAATGATAGGTCCTTTCATAATGAGCAGGTAACCAATTTCATTGAAATTGCCTCTATTTCATATCTCTGTTGCTAAAATTACTCAAAGAAATATGTCCAAATTTTTCCACCAACTTAAAGAGTCAATTTGATTTAGTGATCTTCTTTTCCTTTTATCCAGGTCTTTTGGATTCTCTTGTAATGCTCCCAGGTAGAAGTAAAATTGTTTGGACATGGATATTACTCAATAAATTCAGTTTATTGCCCTTTGTGTGCTATGAAAAATTTGGTCCTCTCAGTCCAAAAGGGACTCCATGAAAATATATTTCTTTAGAGTCAATTAAAAAATAGTTGTTTAGTAAGCAAGGTTATCCAAAGGCTATTCCATCCTTCCCATCCCTCTAACTTATCTTCACCCAAAATAAAACTCTGAAGGGTTTCATCCATTTCATTACTGGTCTGCTCCCTATGCTTAACAATACCATATACTTCTTAGGCCAGGCACGGTGGCACATGCGTGTAATCCCAGCACTTTGGGAGACTGAGGTGGGTGGACTGCTTGAGCCCAGAAGTTTGAGATGAGCCTGGGCAACATGGCAAAACCTCATCTCTACAAGGAATACAAAAATTAGTCGGGCATGGTGGCACTCACCTGTAGTGCCAGGTACTTTGGAGGCTAAGGTGGGAGGATCACTTGAGCCCAGGAGATTGAGGCTACAGTGAGCCATGATCATGCCACTGTACTCCAGCCTGGGTAACAGAGTAAGACCCTGTCTCAAAAATAAACAAACACCGGCACAGCAAACACCAGGACTCCAAGATGGTGTCAGTCGTACCAGTGAAGGACAAGAAACTTCTGGAGTTCAAACTAGGGGAGCTGCCAAGCTGGATCTTGATGTGGGACTTTAGCCCTAGTGGCATTGCCAGAGCGTTTCAAAGAGGTTACTACCAGTACTACAAGTACATCAACGTGAAGAAGGGGATCATCTCGGGGATAACCATGGTGCTGGCAGCCTACATGCTCTTCAGCTACTGACTTTACTACAAGGAGCTCAAGCACCAGCGGCTACACAAGTACCACTGAAGAAAAGGGCACGCACGCTCTGCACTCCCCCACATGACCTTCTTGGCCCGAGTCCCTCCGTAAGGAACACAACCTCGATCGTTGCTGAATCCTTTCATATTCTAGTGGGAATTAACCTCCAAGTAAAAGATGACTGGTACGTGAAAAATAAATAAATAAATAAACAAACGGATAAATAAATGTGTAATACCATGTACCTGCTGTTGACCTGACTTTTCTATAACATTACTCTCAACTTCATTCATTCATTCTTTAGGAAAGATTTACTTGGAAGATGTTCAATTTAGTGAAAGAGACAGATATAAAACAACAAGGCTATTTTTGTGGGTAAACACATAGAAATATCATTGTGGAAACTTTCTCAGAATTAAAAATCCAGTATGAAATTCCAGATCCACCTTTTTTTTTTTTTTTTTTTTTTTTGAGATGGAGTCTCACTCTGTTGCTCAGGCTGGAGTGCAGTGGCACAATCTAGGCTCACTGCAACCTCCAACTCCCAGGTTTGGTCAAGTGGTTCTCCTGTTTCAGCCTCCCGAGTAGTTGGGATTACAGGCACGTACCACCATCACCAGCTAATTTTGTTGTATTTTTAGTAGAGATGGGGTTTCACCATGTTGGCCAGGCTGGTCTCAAACTCCTGAGCTCAAGTGATTCTCCTACCTCGGTCTTCCAAGGTGCTGGGATTACAGGCGTGAGCCACCGTGCCCGGCCAGATCCACATTTTTAACAGACATCAGTTGCAAGTGCCACAATATATGTGTTATATCCAATGGCATTTAATATTTAAATCAAAATAATAATACATGATTATATGTATTTCTTTATATACTTATAATAATAAATATAATCATACTTTTGTCAATGTGTAACTCTTTTGCACTTCTCCTGAGTCTTGTGTTAGGTCAGTCTATTTCACAGTCATCACATTTGGAAAAGATCAGAAAAAAAGAAGAAAGGGGAAAGCAAGTAATTTGATATTTCTTAGTCTGTCATACTAAGTAGCTAAATGGTAACTGCCAGTCTAGGGCAAAATAGAACAGATTATTATTAATTTCTCAATGTCCTGAATACCTAGTTTGGGAGTGTGTGTGTCTGTGTGTATATACAAATTTACATATATTTATGTATATATAAATTTATTATATATTATATATAATTATATATAATATATTATATATTATTTATTATATTTATATAATAAATTTATATATACTAAATATATGTTTTTATATATATACTAAAAATGTTTATATATAGTATTTGTTTTTTAAATAGAGATGTGATCTTGTTATGTTGTCCAGGCTGGTCTTGAACTCCTGGGGTCAAACAGTCCTACCTCAGCCTCCCAAAGTGCTAGGATTACAGACATGAGCCACTGTGCCTGGCTGGCAATGTGTATTTCGACAAATATTTATCCTTATATTCCTGTGATTCTCAATCTTGGCTGCACATCAGATTCTTAAGCAAACTAAAATGTTGTTCAGCCCAGCCTTCTAACATTCAGATTCTGAAGGTAGAGGGGATTTGGGCTCAGACATCTAACTTTTTTTGTTTTTTTTTTCTTTGAGATAGTCTCACTCTGTTGCCCAGGTTGGAGTGCAATGGCACGATCTCAGCTCACTGCAATCTCTGCCTCCCAGGTTCAAGTGATTCTCCTGCCTCAGCCTCCCAAGCAGCTGGGATTACAGGCATGTGCCACCATGCCAGATTAATTTTTCTGTATTTTTAGTAGAGATGTGGTTTCACCATGTTGACCAGCCTGGTCTGGAACTCCTAACCTCATGTGATCCACCCACCTCGGCCTCCCAAAGTGCTGGGATTACAGGCGTGAGCCACCATACCCGGCCAGACATCTGAATTTTTAAAAAGTCACAGAGATGGATTTGATTCATAGTCAGACCTGAGAAATAAGGATGTAATCTGTGCTGTAGACACACTGAACTTACAATCCCTGAAAAACTCTGATCTTCCCACCTCCATGTGTCCGAGCCTAGCCCACTTCTTTCACTAAGCATTTCCAGCCTCCTGAATGGACTCACTCTAGCCCTGTGTTCCTGTCTAATATAGTTCCAGTCATTTGCCCTGTGCTATTGGGGTTATATACCCATATCACCTCTCTTAGTAGACTGAGAACTCTTTGGGAGCAGGGCTACAACTTCTTTATTTTTACACACTCTACAATATCCTGAAAGTATTAGATATTGTAAAAAATACTTAAGTGCAATGTGGTATCTTATGTTGGATCCTGGAACAGAAAAAAAGAGATTAGTAGAAAAACTAGTAAAACTCAAATAAAATTTGCAGTTTAGGAACACACCAATATAAATTCCTTATTTTTGATAAATGTGTCATGGTTATGTAAGATGTTAACATTGGAGGAAGCTGGGTGAAGGAGATATAGAAACTCTCTGTACTATCTATTGCAACTTTTAGAATTATAAAATCCTAATTTTATAATTTTAGAATTATAAAATCCTAATTTTATAATTTTAGAATTATAAAATCCTAATTTTATAATTCTAAAAGTATTACGAAATAAATTACTTAAAGCCAAAAAAAAAAAAAACTCTTGATAAAACAAATTTAACTCAATAATCAAAAGTTTTATCCAAATCTTTCCTCACAAAAGTGGCCAGGCACAGTGGCTCATGCCTGTAATCCCAGCACTTTGGGAGCCAGAGGTGGGCAGGGCACTTGAGCCCAGAACTTGAGTTCAGGCTTGAGTCTCGAACTTGAGTTCGAGACCAGCCTGGCCAACATGGTGAAACCACATCTTTATTAAAAATACAAAAATTAGCCAGGCATGGTGGCACGTACCTGTAGTCCCAGCTACTCGAAAAGCTGAGGCAGGAGAATCACTAGAAAGAATCGCTTGAACCCAGGAGGCGGGGGTTGCAGTGAGCTGAGATCATACCACTGAACTCCAGGCTGGGCAACAAGAGCAAGACTCCATCTCAAAATAAAATAAATATAGCCTGTACAACAGAGTGAGACTCCATCTCAAAAAAAAAATGTAATAAATAAATATTTCCTAACAAAAGATATTTTAACGACAAATGATAAATTGTTAAAGGAAGTCTTATATACATATATATTATATTATGTATTAGATTATATATAGAATTCATTGAAAGGATACACACCAAAATGTTAAAGTGATTTCTCTTCGGGTGATAGAATTATAGATTATAGGTGATGTTTATTTCCTGATTACCTTTATTTTCTAAATTTTCTATAGTAAACAGGCGTTTTTTGGTAATAAATATATTTTTTTAACTTAATGTTCTCCAATATGATAACTCTAGAAAGTGCCGTGTCTTGAACAGTTACAATACACAGTTGTGGGCTTTCTCCAGGGTTCCGGCTCTTATAAAGTAGGGCGTTTCTAGGAACTGCTCTGCTTGACAGGAATTCCCATTTCAGGCAGAAGTCAGGGAAGACAGAGTCAGTCTCCTGTGCATCCTAGAATTAGGGCAGATACACAGCTGTTCAGAAAGCCCAAAGCTGGCTCTCGTCAGAAGATGCTCTATTTTATGTTTTTAGAGACAGGGCCTCACTCTGTCGTTCAGGCTGGAGTGCAGTGGTCAATCACAGTGCACTGTAACTTTGAACTCCTGGGCTCGAGCCATCCTCACACCTCAGCCTCTCGAGTACCTAGAACTACAGGTGGGTGCCACCATCACTGGCTAATTTTTTTTTTTTTTAATTATTTGTAGGCTAGGTGCAGTGGCCTGTAATCTCAGCACTTTGAGAGGCTGAGGTGGGAGGATCACTTGAAGCCAGGAGATGGAGACCAACCTGAGTAACAAAGTGAGATCCTGTCTACAAAAACTTGTTTAAAACTTACCCAGGAGAGGCGGAGGTTGCAGTGAGCTGAGATCATGCCACTGCACTGCAGCCTGGGTGACAGAGCAAGACTCCTTCAAAAAAAAAAAAAAAAATTATTTGTAGAGATGAGGGTCTCACTATGTTGCCCAGCCTGGTCTCAAACTCCTGGCCTTAGTGATCCTCCTGCCTTGGCCTCCCAAAGCAATGGGATTACAGATGTGAGCTACCACATCTGACCAGAAGATACTTAAGTGGAACCAAGTCTGGGCTGGCAACAAACCACTTACATAGTGTGTGTGTGTGTGTGTGTGTGTGTGTGCACATTAAAATAACACAACATAAAACTTATCCTTGCGATCATTACCAAAAATTATTTTTCTTTTTACAACAACCTCTTGTCCAACAGACCTTTCAATCATTTTTAAATGTACAATTTAGTGACATTAAGTAAGTACATTCACAATGTTGTACAACCAGTACCACTCTGCACTTTCAGAATTTTTCATGATTCCAAACAGAAACTCTGTATCCATTAAACAACAACTTCCCATTTTTCCTGCCCCTGGTAATCACATTCTACTTTCTGCTTTTATGAATTTGACTACTCCAAGTACCTCACATAAGTGGAATCATACAATGTTTGTTCTTTTGTGTCTGGCTTCTTTCATTTAGTACAATATTTCCAAGGTTCATCCATGTTGTAGCATGTATCAGAATTTCATTTTTTATGGCTGAATAATATTCCGTTGCATGCATATGCCACATTTTGTTTACCCATTCATCTATAAATCGACATGGGCTGCTTTCACACTTTTGGCGATTATGAATAATGGTGCTATGAACATTGATGTACAAGTATCTGTTCAAGTCCCAGTGTTTAATTTTTTGTGGTATACACCTAGGAGTGAAGTTGCTGGTCACAAGGAAATTCTATGCTTAACTTTCTGAGGAGCCACCAAACTGTTCTTCATAGTCACTGCATCATTTTACATTCCTACCAGCAGTGCATGAGGGATCCATTTTTCTCTACATCCTTGTCAACACTTGTTATTTTTCTTTTTTAAAAAAATAATAGTCATCCTGGCAAGGTGCACTGGCTCACACCTATAATCCCAACACTTTGG